GGTCTGAGCCATAACAATGCCCCAGCCAACCCCCTAGTTCTCTTCCAGGGTCTCGGTGTCCCCGACCAATACACACTTCCTTCCCTGTCCATCCATGTAACCCCGGAGGGCCAGGCGCCATGTAAAAGCAAAGAGCTAAAGGAGGAACAGGGCGGCACCCTAAGCCCTGATCCTCCGAGTGGACCACATGCCCTGAACCTGTACGAAGACGCCAACCTGGAACTCACGGACAGTACCAGCCGCAGAGCTTACCGATTAAGCTAAGGTACCGTTGGTATTTGACGACGGCAAATTAAACATCTTGTGCTAAATGTACTTAGAGTTACGCAACAGTGAACACTATTATTATGCAGGCTTTTTTGAGCTAACGGGTGCGTTCAGGGGCGGATACAGGATTTTTTCCGGGGGGGGGTCCGGGCACCTTAGATATTTATATCCGATTATTGAGGACAGGCGGAGCGTGTCATTATTATATTTGATTAAAAATTATTTATTTTTCGCGTTTGTCTGACCGGTGGGGGGGGTGTTTTCGTCCAAATTTCATTTTGAAAAGCACATCTGTCCAGAAATCGAATTGAAATGTGTTCTGGTATCCTATGGGCATCTTTCCAGCAAGTTTAAAGCAATTTGATTTTTTGGCCAAAATTGGAAAAAAAATGAAAGGGTTGAAAGACAAAATTATAGCTGCGGCTGTTTAAAGGGTTGAGGCAGTAAAATGGGTCCGAAGTAGCATACGCCGGCCAAATCACGATTTGCATGCCCTCAAATTCTTCAGTACCTGAGCACATTGTGGGCCATGCACTTGAGGGTTCGTGAACAGTGAGGATGGAAGCCGTGCACAGGAACGTGAGCTTGTATTTCTGTTCAATTCGCATGAAATTGGGGCTCTAAAAGCGCTCTATTTTGCATTGGAGTGTAGGTGCCGTTTTTCAAAATGGCGATGGGTGATCATGTTCGGATGGAAATTTCTCCCACAATCAGATAGGCCCTAACCACCTAAAAATTGAGGGAAAATGGGAAGACGATCAAACTAAGCTTTAATTTTAATGTATGTCTCCAACACCTTAGAAAGCAAATTGTGAGTATTTTCTTGAATTTCTAAAGTGGGGGAATTTATCATTGCAGTCTTTGGCAATTCATTTCACCTATAGGGGCACTGTTGAAAGCGGACACTCATTGACACTCTTTGGCAATAGGTGGCGCTCTTCATCCCTGCCGACTGACGAGACAAGCTTTTTACGACCGGCCGATGTCGCCGGCCCGATTTTTCTTCGCACGTCCCCACCTGACTCGCTCTTAAAATCTGTAGCTAGCAGTATTTTTAATATTTTTTTTAGGGGGGGGGGCATTTGTTTGGTGCACGATTTGACCGATATGTATGTGGCATATTTTCGAGTAGTATAATAGGGGTGTAAGTGGCGCCACCAACGTCCAAATATTCCCCCCACCCCCCCCCCCCCCCCGAAAAAAAACCACAAAAAAAAAAATTGTGAGCACCCCCCCCCCCCCAGCCAAATCCTGGGTGCGCTCTTAGGTAAAAAAAAAAAGGCGCCTAAAATATCGGAAAAGTAGGAACTAAAATATCCAACTAGTTTGCCGGCCTTTACACAGTTCTAAAAATTGGTCCTCAAGCGTGCTCCAGTTCTGAAATTGCGCACACAATTCAAAGCGAATAAGGATCGGAGCTTCCCGCTCTCAAATCGAAAATTCAAATTAAATAATTGACAAAAAAATCAGCTCATGTCGATGTCAAGCATTTAAAACAAAATTCTGCGGCCAAAATTGTGTGCAATTTTTTGGGATTTTTTTTAACTTCTACACAATTTTGCAATTGACGTAAGATTAATGGTAGTCATATTGATCGAACGAAACGTAATTTTGATAATAATCAATTATTTAATATTCATAGATTCACGACGTATACCTTTGATTCGATTTTAATACTACCGGAGACCTGCCGGGCACATGTAAATATCCAACTAAAGCAAAGTTTTTTAAAAAAAAAAATAGAGGATTAAAAAAAAAATCAAAAAGTTATGCGCTAGCCAAGCTTTCAGGGGTCGGTCTGAGCCATAACAATGCCCCAGCCAACCCCTTAGTTCTCTTCCGGGGTCTCGGTGTCCCCGACCAATACACACTTCCTTCCCTGTCCATCCATGTAACCCCGGAGGGCCAGGCGCCATGTAAAAGCAAAGAGCTAAGGGAGGAACAGGGCGGCACCCTAAGCCCTGATCCTCCGAGTGGACCACATGCCCTGAACCTGTACGAAGACGCCAACCTGGAACTCACGGACAGTACCAGCCGCAGAGCTTACCGATTAAGCTAAGGTACCGTTGGTAGTTGACGACGGGAAATTAAACCTCTTGTGCTTAATGTACTTAGAGTTACGCAACAGTGAACACTATTATTATGCGGGCTTTTTTTAGCTAACGGGTGCGTTCAGGGGCGGATCCAGGATTTTTTCGGAGGGGGGGAGCCGGGCACCTTAGATATTTATATTCGATTATTGAGGACAGGCGGAGCGTGTCATTATTATATTTGATTAAAAATTATTTATTTTTCGCGTGTGTCTGACCGTGTGGGGGGGGGGGGGTGTTTCCGTCCAAATTTCATTTTGAAAAGCACATCTGTCCAGAAATCGAATTGAAATGTGTTCTGGGGTCCTATGGGCATCTTTCCAGCAAGTTTAAAGCAATTTGATTTTTTGGCCAAAATTGGAAAAAAAAATGCAAGGGTTAAAAGACAAAATGATACCTGCGGCTGTTTAAAGGGTTGAGGCAGTAAAATGGGTCCGAAGTAGCATACGCCGGCCAAATCACGATTTGCATGCCCTCAAATTCTTCAGTACTTGAGCACATTGTGGGCCATGCACTTGAGGGTTCGTAAACAGTGAGGATGGAAGCCGTGCACAGGAAGGTGAGCTTGTATTTCTGTGCAATTCGCATGAAATTGGGGCTCTAAAAGCGCTCTATTTTGCATTGAAGTGTAGGTGCCGTTTTTCAAAATGGCGATGGGTGATCATATTTGGACGGAAATTTCTCCCACAATCAGATAGGCCCTAACCACCAAAAAATTGAGGAAAAATGGGAAGACGGAAAAAATGGAAAAATTAAGCTTTAATTTTGATGTATGTCTCCAACACCTTAGAGAGCAAATTGTGAGTATTTTCTTGAATTTCTAAAGTGGGGGAATTTATCATTGCAGTCTTTGGCAATTCATTGCACCTATAGGGGCACTGTTGAAAGCGGACACTCATTGACACTCTTTGGCAATAGGTGGCGCTCTTCATCCCTGCCGACTGACGAGACAAGCTTTTTACGACCGGCCGATGTCGCCGGCCCGATTTTTCTTCGCGCGTCCCCGCCTTACTCGCTCTTAAAATCTGCAGCTAGAAGGGTTTGTTTAATTTTTTTTTTAGGGGGGGGGGTCATTTGTTTGGTCCACGATTTGACCGATATGTATGTGGCATATTTTCGAGTAGTATAATAGGGGTGTAAGTGGCGCCACCAACGTCCAAATATTCCCCCCCCCAAAAAAAAAACCTATTTGTTTGAAAAAAAAAAAAAAATTGTGAGCACCCCCCCCCCTCCCTCAGCCAAATCCTGGGTGCGCTATTAGGTGAAATAGGCGCCTAAAATATCGGAAAAGTAGAAACTAAAATTTCCAACTAGTTTGCAGGCCTTTACACAGTTCTAAAAATTGGTCCTCCAGCGTGCTCCAGTTCTGAAATTGCGCACACAATTCAAAACGAATAAGGATCGGAGCGTCCCGCTCTAAAATCGAAAATTCAAATTAAATAATTGAGAAAAAAAATCAGCTCATGTCGATGTCAAGCATTTAAAAAAAAAAAAATTTGCTGCCAAAATTTTGTGCAATTTTTTTGGATTTTTTTTTAACTTCTACACAATTTTGCAATTGACGTAAGATTAATGGTAGTCATATTGATCGAACGAAACGTAATTTTGATAATTATCAATTATTTAATATTCATAGATTCACGACGTATACCTTTGATTCGATTTTAATACTACCGGAGACCTGCCGGGCACATGTAAATATCCAACTAAAGCAAAGTTTTAAAAAAAATAGAGGATTAAAAAAAAAATCAAAAAGTTATGTGCTAGCCAAGCTTTCAGGGGTCGGTCTGAGCCATAACAATGCCCCAGCCAACCCCCTAGTTCTCTTCCAGGGTCTCGGTGTCCCCGACCAATACACACTTCCTTCCCTGTCCATCCATGTAACCCCGGAGGGCCAGGCGCGGCACCCTAAGCCCTGATCCTCCGAGTGGACCACATGCCCTGAACCTGTACGAAGACGCCAACCTGGAACTCACGGACAGTACCAGCCGCAGAGCTTACCGATTAAGCTAAGGTACCGTTGGTATTTGACGACGGGAAATTAAACATCTTGTGCTAAATGTACTGAGAGTTACGCAACAATGAACACTATTATGTAGGCTTTTTTAAGCTGTCGGGTGTGTTCAGGGGCGGATCCACGATTTTTTTTCTGCGGGGGGGGCCTCCGGGCACCTCAGATATTTGTATCCGATTATTATATTTAATTAATATTATTCATTTTTCGTGTGTGTCTGACCGGTTGGGGGATGTTTCGTCCAATACAGATACAGACAGATACAGATTTTGAACTCCGTCACCGTACTATTTCAACATAGGGCCTATGGAACACTGGTGCCTGCCTGCCTACGAAATACTTCATCGAGGCCTGTTGCACCTGAAGCTGGCATGGAAACATTGAGCAAGTACTTCCTGGTCCACTTTTTTTCAGCGGACTGTCCGACCTTTCCCTTTATACGATCTTTTTTTCCCGATCGCCCAAATTGTATTTAGTTAACAGCAAATAATGGAATAGGCCTATAAAGGTTAGCATGCAATGCTTTCCGAACCCGAGAACCAATAAAAAGGGCAGGATGGATGCGTAGTCTCATCATTGTTGGAGGAAACTTTCCACTTTCACACACAGCTAGTCTATCTATCTGCAAGATGAAAGTGTTGATGCTTCTTTTGCTCGTCGGTTCTGCACTGGCCGGGACTGACCAGGGGGTAAGTTCAGATAGGCCTACTCGATCATGTCTAACAACAGAATCTAAATGTTTGCAATAGCTTAATTGCCATTCAGGACAGAACGGCCGGAAACTGGTAAATAGTGTCCATCCATAAAATAGTCAGTGGGCTTGTGGTAGCCCATACGCATATTCGGGTACATTCTTTGAAACTCTCAGGATCACTTACAGATTTCAAAACCACTTGATGCCATTTTTTCCGACCCTTTTATGGGCGGGGCCATGACTTTAAAAAGTGGGGGCTTCGTGTTACAAAAAAATATGATTCACTTTTCTTTTTAGCATTTGGACTGCTCACCCAATTTTGCTTCTTCGGGGGTCCGGGTGGGACCTAATTTTATAAGAGCGGGAGGCAAATGCCATTAACAGACAATCGAGCTGTAACCGATTTTTTTTTTTTTTTTTTTTTTTGGTGTTTTCGGTTTTTGTTTCCATTCAGTACAGTAAACTGGGCGGACAGAATGTTTACCTGTCAAATCATAATAAAAAAATGTTCCCTATATGCCGGGGGGGGTGGCTGTGGGGTATGTCACACTTTTTTTATAAAAAGGGGCATATTGCAAAAGTGAGCTTGCGGGAGCCCATATGCAATTCAGATATACATTCTTCGAAACACTCAGCATCGCCTATAGATACCTCAACAAGCCCAGAAAATTGCTTGGTCTCATTTTTTCCAACGCCCTAGGGTTGCCATTTTGAATTTCCAAATGGCACCCTCTTCATAGTACACATATAAATTGACGAAATAATCGACTTTTGAGACATTTATGTTTTGATCTGTTTTGTTTTATCCTGAATACAATGCTGACCTTGACAGAACACTCAAACTGTAACAGTCATTTTAAACTTCAAAATGGCCGCCACTTACAGTTTATATTAGAGATACTATTTGCACATATTGGAAAAAGTCTGAAAATGAGAAAGTTCAACAAGTCAAAAACCTAAGTAATCAAGCTGAGATGATTAAGCGAATGAAATGTAAAACACTTGTAATTGGACACAAGTTTGATGAGGCATTTGATATCCAGGACCTTATTCAGAAGAAAAAAAATAACAGCTTGAGACCTACAGGTATCTGTCCACAATTTCTCAAGTTAAATCCAGATTTGGGTGAATTACACAAGAGTAAATGTTATATTTTTTATGTAATTTAAACTGGCTACGTGCTTTCCTGGAATTTTATTAGTCATTTTATAAGTTTGCAAAAGTGTCAGCATCAGGGTGGCTAGCTGTATTGCACACATCTCTTCAGCCTCACATCTGCATAGTTCAGTGCAAACTAGTGGCTTTGCATGAACATCTTGCAGTTGCACAGTTGTCGGTGGAATTGACCTGATACCTAATGACGTCACGCTTTGTTTACATGTGCGCTTTCTAATGAAAGTTAGGTGTCGATTAGGGAGACATATTGACAGTGAAACGGTAATTGACAATTTCGGTGTAAATGACTTAATCTAAAGTTTTATCTTCGATGCCATTTTCACCATATAATATGATAATATAATAATATCTTTATTCGCACAAATCAATGGCACAAAATACAAAACAGATGTAAGTAAAAACGTAAACACATCAATATAAGAATGAAAGACATACAAAGATTACAAAGAACCAAAAATTATGTCAATGGACACAGATGTCATTAATTATTTCAGAGACATCATTGTCATCAAAGATTTCACATCGAGCAACGCCGTCTAAGTACACAAACATTTGATCTCACACTTAACGGTACACAATCAGGCCATGTATTTCAGGAATCCCTCAGTTCAATGAAATTGTTAAAAACACCGAACAAGGATTGCATAATGCCTCATTGGCTACAGACTTCAACAAAGAGGATCGAGATTTTGTTAAAAATGCTCCAGTTTACAAAAATGGTGATTGTTCCCATGTCATTAATTATTGCCCCTCATCTGTCTTGTCGTGCTTCTCAGATTTGTTAGAAAAGTTAGTGGCAAACAGTCTTTAAAAAAGTCATACTGTCACAATCTCAATACGGCTTCAGGTCCAAATATTCGACTGAACTTGCCTTGATTGAGTTAGTTGGTAAAGAAACATCTAGTCAGTAGTCTGGACAGACGTGAACATACAATTAACATTTTTCATGATCTTTCTAAGGCATTTGATACCATGGATCATGATATTCTAATTAGTAAACTACAAACATATGGCGTCATAGGTACTGCACTCGATTGGTTTAAAAATTACTTGAGAAATAAAACACACAATTATTTGTTTTCTGGCAAAATAAAAAGTCCGGTTACAAACCAATCACCTGTGGTGTACCTCAGGGCTCAATCCTCGGGCCCATCTTATTTCTTATTTATATTAACGATATTTGTAATTTTACTCAACTTTTGATGTTCATCTTATTTGCAGATGATACAAACATATTGTACAAGTAGTAAACATTTAAAGATGCTATTGGCATAATGAATAGAGAGCTAACTAATATATTTGAGTGGTTTGTATGTGGTAAATTATCTTTGAATTTTAAGAAAAAACACATTACGATGGTTTTTACCATTCCTGTCGATTTTTGGGTGTCATTATTAATGATAAGTTAATGTGGAGAAATCATTGTCAGAAAGTCCTTACACTTATATCTCGCAACCTTGCCATTCTTAGAAAACTTAGATATTTTGTTCCATTCCGTATTCTGTTTCAATTTATAACACATTATCCTTGTCTCATCTTCAATACGGTATACTTACCAAATTTTGGCTTTATATTGCTTATGATTGGATACCTGGTGACGTCGTGATGACGTCGTAAAATGTATCACATCTTCGGGCGGAGGCTCAAGTTCATACCAGACTTTATCATCATCACGTGGACCGTTTTAAAAGAAGTATTTTAAAGCAACATTTAAAACAATTTGTCCCAGGCTCACAGACACAGATGAAGGGATTTTAAAAGCCGAAAATTGCTTGTGATTTGATCTACAATGACCTCATGATGACGTCTCAAAATGTTCACATTTGTTGACAGTTGTTTCCACAAGATTTCGTCTTCATGCCTTAAACCGCTCAGAAGAGTTCCGTTTGTGTTAATATTGAGGTCCCTTTTGTTCGTTGGCTCTTGCCATTGAATACAACTATACCTAAAATAGTTTATGTTTCAACAATAATTCTGCCAGACATAATATATTTTGAAGGGCATTTCTGTTGCCGCACATAAAAGTTATAGCTTCTCAAAATAGAAACAGTATCAGCAGACTTCAATATGGAGTTTGACGGAGCCTGCACGTCCTTGGAGTTTGCAAAACATTATGCTCAGCATCTAAAAATAACGTTGTATGGCTGTTTTGCTTTTGCCTGGGCATAATACAATTCTGCTCTGCTGACGAAAGAATGGTTCGTGGCTACACTGCACGAAATAATAAATATTTCGAACCGTGTAGTGAAATCTTTCAATTAGGTCATCAGCCTGGGGGGGGTTGGTCGGTATCAAAAGAGGGGAATAATGCTCATTGTGATTTTTGGCAATGTACGAACCCCTGTAGTTGGAAAGTATGTGATAGCATTGCAGCGGTGGCAGCTTTGTGGGTGTTAAAAAAAAAAATGGCGGCCCAAGCATGCTTGTTTCCACATATGATTAATACGGTCACAAGCATTTTGAGAACAAAAATTAAACGTGATAACAGCCAAACAACTGCCACCGCTCACACTGCAATGCTGTCACACATTTTCCAACTCTAGATGTGCATACCTTGCCAAAAATCGTTATGAGCATTGCTCATTTCGATCATTTGATACCGGTTGCCCAATTTTTCGACCAAAGCTGATAGCCCAAGTAGCTCAGAGCACAGCTTTATTATGCCCATGCAAAAACCCCAAATAAGCCATTAAAAAAATTGCGATGAAAAGCATATGCTGCATTTTCCCTGCAAATGCAAGTTATGCAACATATGCCTATCTTCTAAAAATAAATGATATATGTCCTTTTTGTATTTGCATGAACGTACTAAGGGGCCATTCACAATTTTCAATGTTTTTAAATTTGGATTTTTTTTTCCAAATTGTTTTGACCCACCCACCCACCCCTATTTTCGATTTAAAAAAATATGATTTGTTGTGCAGTATTAAAATTCCAATGCACTTGCATGCACACACATTTGTAAACACTGGCAATCGTGGACCCCCTTGGTTTTGCACACAAATTTCAATCGAGGACTATCGGTCAATCGTGGACGTATTGTTTGTGTCCTTACCCTTATGACCTTGGTCCACGATTGCTGGCGTGTAACAGCAGGTCATTCTGTACATCTGTATTGGGGACGAAATTAAGTCAAAATATCTAGATTTTTGTTTTAACTTGCTTTTTTTGCATGAAAAGTGAATTTGGATTTTCAATTATTTGCCTTGACCCACCCCACCCACAATTTCGAAAAAAAGATCCAAATTTAAAAACATTGGATATTTTGAATGGCCCCTAAAATTATGCTCATAGCTGTTAACCGGGTTCCTGGCTACGCGACACAAATATTACTTGCTTAAGATATGATACGAAAACATGAGGTACGACCACCTTCAAAAAGTTACTCCTGGTCTGGAGACGTCATCATTTGGAGACTTCGTCATATTTCATGTAGTTTGTCACTCTCCAATGAATGTTTTTTAGTATATCGTGCTTTTTCGAGTGGTGACATCATGATTGTTTTTGTTATTACGGGGAATTGTTACCCGAGGGGGGCATTCCCATAGGGTCGTGCACAAACTGTTTCCACCTATAATTATCCCTAACCCCAATTTCCCTTACCCTAGCCCCACAAATTCTGGTATATTTATGTTTTGGACCATGAGCAATCGATCTAGCCTATTTGCTACGACAAAATGTTGCCTTTAAGTAGGAGCTGTGACATTAGGGAGACATTGACATGTCTCCCTAATGTCCGGTGTTTCCCTAAGGTATAACTTAGGACGAAAAAATGTCTCCTTAAGGGTGGAATTAAGCTTCTCACATTGAACATTTTGCATAAATCTCTTTTAATAATACTTTCCGAATAATAAATATTAAATCCATTTATCGCTGCACTTTCGTTTACCCCGGGATTAAGGATTGAGAGGTTTTGTTCTCGACAAAAAAAAAGTTTGCAAAAGGCAATATTTACCACCTCCCAAAACAGAATCAGTTCCAATTTATAAAGCTGAAAGTATTTTGTCAATTCTAAACCATAAATCGCTTCTTAGGTTAAAATGTAAAAAAAAGCTCTTCGTTTTGTCAATGAGTTATTATAATAATAAGTTCTTCCCTTTTTTTAAAACTAAAACCACTGATAATTTGATATGAGATGACGTCATAATGACGTCACACTACATCTTGCAATTAAGATTAAATAAATGTAAAAGTTTCAGCTTTATGCAATGATCCGTTTATAAAAAAAAAAAAAAAGCTGTGGAAAAGTATTGGCTATAGAGGAAAAAACACAGAAAGAAGAGTCAGCACAAAACAAAAATAATGATGGGGAATCAGCCACATTTCCCCAAAAGTCAAACATTAATTTCAAAACTGTGATCGGATTGGACAAAGCATATATCGCACAGAAACAAAGGGTGATCGAGATCGGCCCAATCACTCCATTTTAACCATTTTCAAACGGTTCTCGGGTTGTGCCCGATCACCCAACAACACAGAAATACAGGGTGAGTTTCGGGGTTTTTTTGACTCACCCTGTAGACATCCCGAATCACGCGATCAATCCAGCGGCTTGCATACATGTATAGAGCCACGAGTTTTCATCTGAGGGACGAATAGCTGTATAGAAAACGCAAATGCTTCACTTTTATTTTATGTTCTCGACATAATACAGGGTGAGTCAAAAAAAGTGAGTCATCACGGCCAACGAGATCTACAATGAATACCGTGCCTTATTGTCACATAACAATATTTCACCAGGTACGAGACGAATTCAATGGAGAAGCGGTAGACTTTTTCATGGGCAAGGACAAGATGGCGGCCATGTTGGAGATGACTCCGTCTCCGCATTGCCTGGAGGGCGACATGGAGATGAGTGAGGAACAGAAGGAGGTCTACTCCATGATGCAGGAGGTGACGGCCGAGAACAGTGCCCGAGTGCGCCGTTATTCCAGCAATGCCTTCCGACAGTGGCCCGACAAGACCTTGGTGTACCAGTTCGATTCATCGCTGTGTGAGTAGCTTCATTTTTACTGGGGTTGAGGAGGTTGGTGGGTCAAAACTCGGACTCGAGTCTGACTCGAGTCCCATTTTCCGTGACTCGGACTCGGACTCGAGTCATGATGACAATGACTCGGACTTGGACTCTACCCTGTGGACTCGGACTCGACCCTGTGGACTCGGACTCGGATTAGGACTCGACCTGCGTGACTCGGAGCTCGACCAAAATTACCACAAACCACTCATTTTCTTTCACCAATATCATAAGAAATTATTTTGAAGACGTTCCTCTCCTGAGCAAGCGATACGTGCAGAATAAACGCATCTACTGTACATACACACTCGCAGCTGGTTTGTTTCCCAATAATGATATTGATTTGGGAAATTAATGTATCGAAACATGTACCCCCAGCGTCTACACTTGATATTGCGTAAATGCAACCTTGATAGTCTTTCCAGACACTGCAGGTCCCTTGTCTTATTTTACAAGTTATACAGTAGTTCCGGTTATTAAAGAAAAGCTGTGAAAAATGGAAACATTTTACACTGTGGTGAAAAATGGAAACATTTTACACTGTGAAGCTTCAGCAGTAGGCTACCTCCAGTTTATTTCAATATATATCAAAAGTTGCTCGTGATTCGGACTCCGACTCGACCTGCATGACTCGGGAAGAGGAGACTCGTGACTCGGACTCGATCTGCACACTTACCCCGGAGATTACACACTTACCCCGGATAGTGCTCAAATTTAGTCCCTTTGATAATGATATCACTAACATTATTTTCGCCGAACGACTACACGCGCAATTCGTCGAAAGATCGACTGATGCAATCGTTCAGAACGACATATAGGCCTACACGAAATTTTCTGAAACCACTGTCTATTTGGCGAACTCTTCAGGCTGGCGTTCCGAATGAAATTGCGCCTACGATTTGAATTAAGTACATGAGAGGTTCGACTGATCTGAAAGATCGACTGATCTTCATTCGGAACGAGTCCAGTGTCTAGTTGAAATGGAAAATGAACGCATAAAGTTCGCTTTCTCAAACCAAAATCTATTTGGGTCGCTCCTGTTAGACATATAAACCGGGAGCTAGGTTGAGTTTAATTAACAATTTGAGCACAAAAGGTTTGATGGTACCAATCGATTGCCCGTCGGGGGGTAGTTCCGAAATGGCCATTGTTAAGTTGCCCTAGGTCAGATGGGGGGTCAGGAGACCATGGTCAAGTGTTCAGAATTTCGAGTTTAATTAACGTGTCGTTGACGAATTCTTTTCTTTTTTTCTCGAAGCTGATGAAATAAAAGCATTGTTCATGGCAGCCGTCGATGAGTTCACGGAAAGGACGTGCATCAAGTTCGTTGAGGCCAAAGATGGTTACACTGGAGACATCAGACCGATCAAAGTATGGGGAGACGGCAATGGGTAAGACTGGCAAAATTAAGCAAGTTTTGAACGATAGGATAAAAAAAAATCGGCTGACACCGAAAAAAATAAGGAAGTTGATGTGCGACACACGATTACATTCGACTCACACTTGTTGCATGTTACAGGAGCTTTACTGCACTTTGCTGTATGGTGGGTATTAGCCATACACCCAAACAACAATGGTCTTGGGGCTGTTTATGGTGTAGTACATTGTCCATGTATATCTCAAAGGATTGGAAACAACTACCACTTTAAGCCCCTGTCACACATCCAAGACCAAAGACAAAGACCCGCGCCAAGACCACGAAATTAGAAGGAAAAAAATCTTAAAAATTGTACGAAACACGTAGGCACTGTGGCGCCAAAATTAAAATTTCTGCGATGTCGTCCCGAACACTACGACTCCGACACGACGTGGAACCGAATAGTACGACTTCGCTACGACTTTGCTACGACTTGGATCCGTTCATTTGAATTTCTTTCACAACTGAGTCCCAATCTCGTTACGACATAACCGACAGAGTATCGACAGAGTACCGACACAAAAGACTAAGAACCGATACCGAAATGACAGAGGGACGTCATCTTCGGAACTACACGTCGTAATGGTCGTCTCAAAGTCGGTTAAAAACATTTGGCCGACCATGCACGACCACTACTGATCTCGTATTATGCAGACTACTGCGATTTCGTTAAGACTTTGTTACGACTTCGTTACGACACAACCGTTTGAGTATAGACAGAGAATAGTCTCTGATCCGTTTTGGATTTTTTGCCAACCATCACGATATGTTTTAACTGTTGAAACTAATCGTGGCTCCACTGCCGACCATGCACGACCTGTAGGATACCGAAACGGCGCTCAAGAAGTCGCTCCGATATAGTTCAGATATCGTTCAGATTTTCACGATGTCTTGCGTCTCAACACTGTCTTATCGTGATCAGGAGGCTACATCGTGACAGCGTGACAGGCGCTTTGCACGTGTTATTCACCTTTTATGTTTGCATACGGAACTTGTGAAATATGAAATTTTTGACCCAGAATTTTTGGAGTAATTGAGAAATTACGCAATAAATACTCCAAAATTACTTACTCTGAAGCGAGGGGTACAGACATTTCTACACATTGCCGCTCGTTATCCCCTCTGGGTTGTTTTAATACAACATTGACACTTTTATAATGTGACGGTTCTTCCAATTCGTGTCAAGGTGCTCCTCGACTATTGGTGGACCAGGCGGAAATCTCAAATTGCCGGACCTCTGCAATAGCGTGAGTTGCAAATTAGTTGAAGACAAATGGACGTTGAAACAACTGCCATATGACAATACTAACAGTGTTTGAATAATTTGGGAAAACAAGTCAGTTTGGGGGATTTTCTTTTATGGGTTTATTTCAAAAGATAGATAAACTGAGTTGCTTGGCAAATGATTGGTACAAACAGGAAAATTAGGAATCTTTATTTAATTTTCATTTCTGAAAACTACAGCAAAAGCAAATGTTGTATACATTCTTGTATTTCCTTTAAAGAATGATGTGGCTCATGATGACGTCATCGTGGGTTATGTGACGTCATCATTAGACGTCATTTTAATGTCTGATATCTAGAGAACTACAAGTCCGGTTGGATTGAAACTTAGTATGTGTGTACGTATGGACGTGTTATATGTAAAAGAAGATGATGTTATGACATGATATAATCTGTCTTAAATCTTTCTTAATTTTAAAGTCGTTTATCTTGGGAACTACAAGATACCAAAACACCACACATCATGGAACTTTGTTCCTACATGAGACCCATCATACAAAATACTCATGGCATACAAAACAATCATGGTGCGGAAAATCCATGTGTTCTGTTCATCGAACAGACATAGTTCTAGCCTGTATGTATATAGGGCTGAGTCAATTCGAATATTTGACTATTCGAATATTTGACCTGCCAGTCGATCGAGTATTCGAATATTCGGTTATTTGGCCACTCCAAATTCCCACACAAAAAAACAGAAATATATATGCCATACATGTACATGTAGTTAACGTACATGTACGGATGCACGTCAACATGCCATGCATGATTTCTAAAAACAAACAGTAGATCTCGAGTCATCAGTAATTTGAAGATTAATACTCACCAGAGAAGCTAGAGTGAACGATTCCTTGTTTGCACAGGGGACGTATTAAGCCGTGAACCCCAAACACGGTGGGTGGCGGCAGCTATTGTGACTCTCCGACCCTTAACTCGCACAAAGTAATCGAGAAAAAATTTTACTTGAAGCCTCTTTGAGTCTAGAAAATGGTGTACTTTCTAGTCACAGTATTGAGGACAAATTGTTGTTTATGTCAGAACAGTACGGGACTATCCTTCACGAATTAGGCCACGCCATCGGTGCCCTCCATGAACAGAGCCGCTCGGATCGCGGCGACCATGTCACCATCAACGAGGAGAACATCTTGCCAGGATACGCCCACGACTTCAGGGTGGCAGACCGGCCGCTGCTTGCCCCGTATGATCTGCACTCGATCATGCATTACGCGTCTACTGTAAGTACACGCAAACCGTTTTTATTTCTGAGGACTTTTTTCAATCTATCGTGAGCAAGTTCGAGCAAGAGCTAGAGCTACAATCCCGGCCAAAATGGTTGGGACACTTGGATATAACTTTAGCCTTTACGGTCACCCACTCCCCCGCTCCCCCGGTCAATGTTGTTCTCTCCAGCTGATGGAGCACACACCGCGCAATGAGAGACAACAATAGGGACCATTAGAAAACGATGCAGATACGGGATGCTTGTGCAGCTCGGAAAAACTGTGTATGACGTCATCAGTTTGTGCGGCAAATTTCAACGCACTCGCACGGCGTTTCTGCATATATCGCACGTCAAAATGGTAAGTTCACGTATGGATTTTCCTCGATAAATCACGGCAAAATACTTATCTTATGAACTCCCAAATTTTACAACTTTCAGTTATAGTGTGCAGATAATGTTACCAGTTTTATTAAAAGAAGAATTACAAAGATGTGATGGGGATTTTATTATATTATTGAGCCTTTACTTTTCAGCTAAAAAAAATCAGCGAAAGTTTATTTTGTTTAACCATGGAGGTATGGTTTATATTGCATCCTTATCGTGACAAAATATAGGCGATCGTGAAGTATAGGGCCCGGTTCCTATAAGGGAACAAAATCCACTTTAAAATTATTAGACCTACCAAACTAGTTGGCAACATTCTCAATAAACAGGTATGTCATAGATAAAGGGCAGGGTTTTGATTTTTTGAGGGAAATTTGGGGGTAAAATGACGATGACCTGATGACAGCGCGGCGACAACACGCGAACCGAAAATAAAGATGGCGATCACCGCACAATGTACCGTGAGCACGCATGGCGCGCTGAATCGCAAGGCACAAACCGCGCAGGAAAATCGTGATTTCTTCCCCAAGAATCTTTTCAAAATTGCAAAATGGGTGTCATTAGAATTGAGAAAAGTCTGCTTTTGATTGTAAAGGTGATTTTTGAGCAATAAAAAATATTTTTGACCCTTATTTGATCAAAACAAAACAGGGGCCCTACACTTCATGATCGCCGTGTTTGATAGCTCCATGATGATGATATAACCACCCAGCATAGCCTGCTTCGTCGTGAACTATAAATTATGGTGAACTCTGTGTGTGAAAAAAAACCACATATATCTGAAGTGCCTGTGTAAGCTCATGTTACAAAGGCAAAGGGCTTCTGTCACTAAAGTAAAATATAGGCCCCCTATTTAAAAAAAAAAAAAAAAAAAAAAAAGGCGAACGTGTAGTGTAGGGCCCCTGTTTATACAAACTGTCTGGACATGCTGAAGTCAAATTATTTGTAAAAAAAATGTTGCAACCTGACGGTCACTTCCGCGATTTGCAACTTATACACACCTACATCATGTAGCAGTATGTATTATTTGACAAGTGGCTGGGATAACCTATGTCATGTATGTGGCAGTAGGCTAACTCAACTTTGATTTCCAGTTGGGTCTGTTGGCATGGTAGAGGATATGGAAGGAAATTCCAATTTTAGTGGTGGGAGGAAAACCCCGGAATGACATTCTAGGGAAAACCCGTGGAATCAAGCAGGGACTGAATACCCTGATCCACATAATGGCCCAGTTGGGATTCGAATCTGGGACACAACCTACAACCTCATTCTCCATGAAGGTAAAATAAGTTTATTTGGGTAACGAATATTTCTAATTACTTCTCTATGTACAATTGAATAGTTGTGTTTGTTTAGTGTGTCGTCAATCCAGAGGGTGTATGGATGGCCAAAAGAATTAAATAAAAACTAAATCAGTGAATAAATATCCATTTTAATTAATTAATCAATTAGTTAATAATTAAGTGGACAAGGAGGCTTGTTTTAATGTTTGTTTAACCACGGAGATAGGAATACCTCCATGGTTTAACAATGTGCATTTTAGCAAGAATCTTAATTGGCTCCTTTATGATGTTGTGTCTCTATACAAAACTCTGTGGCTAGTAAGTATTGTTTTAAAGGTAGAGTCCATCATTTGTAATTTGTGCATTTTGTTCGTTTGAAGCAACAAAAGAGTTCAAAATCTAATGAAGGATACTGAGCAACTAACCTGATGAAGTTTCAGCTAAGCTTCAGCTGTACATTCCGAGAAAAACAGCATTCTAAGATCTCAATTTCAAATCAAAAGTTGCTGAATCATGTTTTGAATTGCAACTATACGCGACGTCCCGCACTGATCCGACGAATTATAACAACCGCGCGCGCGTGTGCGTCGTTCGAATACTTGTGCGCGCTGCGCTGAATAACAAAACGAACTACTAATTTAAATTTTCCTACGGTGCTTCTTAAGAATCACCGTTGGAAATGCCTTCTTTCGTTGATTACTTCAAAATGACAGCTTCCCAGAAAGAATAATTTCACAGGGAGTTTAGTCTCCTTACTATCTTTCAACCAAGTTAGTTTTTCAACAATAATTACGCCACTTACTTTTCGGATGGCTGCAAATGATGGACTCTACCTTTAAGGTAAATCATATATTGAATGCTGTGGTCCTTATGGCATTCACCCTTATTTTTTTTTTCATTACTTGAAAGGTTGAGGCAAGGAAGAAGAAATGCTGGTGCTGAAAGAGTGGCTGGTGGTTCACAGGCCAGATAATGGACTGACATACGTCAGGTGCAAGCAAAGAAAATGGCTACAGGTAAAGCTAACACTTTTGACTCTAAGTCAGTTTTAAACTGACTTAGAGTCAAAAGTCTTAGCTTTTAGAATACCTCTAATTCTGTTGTGAACTGCCAAACAATTCTGTGCCAGACTGTAAAAATCTTATATCCTGATTCCATGTCAGAATATTACTGCACATACAGAATGCTTTGTGTTCCTTGAAAAATGTATTTAAAAAAGTAGGACCAGAAATGTGTTGGGTTGGGAGGCTGTCTCTGCCAGCATATGGGACTACATGTGGCATAATTATGTTAAACAATGTAATGAACATGATGCCAGGTTGAATGAGTCGGTTCAAAAAGACAGTGTAGAGTGCCAGAAACAACAATAGGCCACAAATATACAACTCTATGAATGTTCCCTCACGACTCAAAATGTTAAATTGCAATATTGCATGGCAAAAAATGTTTCTGGTATTTACAGTACGAGATCTTGAGCAGATTATATTTGATATTTTTATTGCTCTTTTACTGCAACACATGCCAAAAATAGCTGAAGTGTTATGGTTATTAATCAGGTTGAAACTAGGAGCAAAATCGTTGTAAGCAGCCAAGTTGATCAGAGTAGCCGGAGGACCACCGACAAGAGACTGAATGGCTGTTAGAAAGGAATGGAATGATTTGACGGTACAGACTCAGGCTACAGGTAATCCAAGACCTCAAACTGGTTTTCTTCTGCCTGACAATAGACAGGATTTTCTTAATTAGGCTTTGATGAAATGTGGTGATTAAATGTCAGCGCCATATGTTTACATTTCTTTTAGGTTCGTGGCCCTTACAAGGTTTGAAATCACTTAGTGAAAAAAAATCACCTTTCTTTTTGTTGTAATTGTGTTGATCTCTACAAATAAATTGTACGTTTGGTCAACTGTTACTCAATAGAGACCCATGCCTTTCTCCAGAAATCCATCTCATTTCCTATTCTGAACTTGTCTCTTACCAGGATAGGAGGATCCATACCAGCATAGGAAACATTTGAACTAGTCATAGATGCCTTGGCACTGCAGACAAAGTATGGAGTCTGAGGACAAGAGACGGAGATGGGTCTCTTTTGCAGTTGGTTGGTGACAAGGAAGTTGCATGTAGGCCTATTGACTTATTGGACACCTTGTCCATTACTGTAATGTACAAGAAAGTTATTTTGTCGAGGCTACAAAATAAGAACTCGAAGTGGAGGAGGAGCTGTTGCAAATTGAGAAGTCCAAGTTGCACTAATGAAACCACATTTGGCTGTTCAGAAAGACATCTTGGAGTGTCTTCCATCTATGCAAATTAACTTGGTCTTTATTTATTTAAATGAATAACTTAAATTCACGAACAAAATCAAAGACATTGAATGGAATTGGAGTAATATTTCAAGTGGCAAGCATGTTTCAAACAATAATTGTCCCTGCACATTTGTACATTTAATGTTAATTTCTTCATTAAAAGTTTGTTCATTTTCAAAAGGGACTTTTCATTTAAGAAGATGGGTGTGGAAGTTGTGTTTACATTGGGCATTATGGGCCTTATTCACGAGTCGGCCATATTGCATTGAAAGTTAGGTAAAATTTTAATTTTTGGAACTTGCGAAGAGAATGAAAGCAACTTAATGTGTAATAAATTCCAGTCTGCTTCAATTAATAATTTAGAATTTGTAATTAAACATTCCCCTATATTTAAAGTCATATTTTGTGTCTGCATAATTAGTCTGGCGCCATCCCATTCAACTGTTAACAATTGAAATACATTCAGGGAACTCGACAAAAATTGCCAACTCGTGAATAAGGCCCACATTGTCTGCAAAACTCAAATTCGGCAACATTTTACCAAAAATCAAGTACCTGTAAGTCTATGAAATGTTTATTTAAAAAAAAATACCTTTTTTGCATCAGTTTAAGTTCAATGAGTATTGAAGTGTTGTCTTCGTGAAATATACATGTCATTGTATTTTTAGATGTGTAGATTATTTTCATGTTTAAAGAATAAAATTGCAGAGGTCTCATCCATACGAGGTCAAACGTTCACTGAAATGTGATGAATTATTTTGGCCCCTGGCAGCGCCCCCGTGAAGTGCTTCAGTAGCATCATTTTCACCTTCATTGTCATCCTATGCATCAAAATAGTTCTTCCTGTCCCTAAAGACTCTGTCCCTTTGCAAAGCACAAGGATTCTGCATCAAAAGCAGCAGAAAAACACATGATAAGTCGCAGCGATTTTACTCACTCTGGCAGAATGTTAATTTTTAAAACATTTTCCCCACCAAAAATTACATTTAAGATTGATCGTTTTATTGCTACAATTGATTCGGATCAAGTGTAAAGTTAAGTTTGATTCGGACTAAAATTTCTTTTTGCAAGGGACATAAGTTTAATTGTAAATTTCAGGCTTTGCTTTGGAGATAAGATTGATTTTGGCAGGATAAGATTATTCGGGAAGTTTTATGAAACGCACCACAGCTGTTCGTCATTAACAGAGGAGGACGCCCTCCCGTATGTCCGTTCGTCACAAAAATCTAATCCTCTCAGCAACGACGCACGTACGCGATACGCAAACGTCGCATGACGTCATAATACGCACACGCATCCCGTACCTGCACGGTTTTCTAATGGTCCCTATTGACAGGAGGCCGGGGGGTTGGGGGCCAAGCGAGATTTGGCCAGGATTGTAGAGTTAACCGCATGGTTGCAGTGGAGTCCACCGCAATTCTTTTCACAAGTCCAGTCGCAAGTCATGTCATAATCCGGTTCGTAGTGTGATGGCATCTCAACTTAGCCATGCGTACTTCACACACAGTAGCATAGCAAGAATGGAACCGGAAGTTAACACAACTAGAACGTTTAGCCAATGGGCGCTTGTAATCAGTGTTACGTGCGCGCGTATGACTAAGTCACAAACGACCCGGAGGGGCCACCCGATAGTCTGAAGGTTCTTTAGTCCGAAGGTTCGATAGTCCGAATGCACACAATTTCCATTAGAGGGGGTTCGTTAGTCCCAAACCATAAGGTTCGTTAATCCGAACATTTTGATACTATAGTCCGAAGATTCTTTAGTCCGTTAAGGTTCATCAGTCCGAAGGTTCGGTAAGGTCCGAATTTAGAATAAGGTTAGTTGGTCTGAAGGTTCATTATTCCCAACTGAAAATAAGGTCCGATAGTCCGAATCGACAATTAGGTCCGATAGTCCGAATCGACATTTAGGTCCGATAGTCCGAATCGACAATAAGGTCCTATGTCCGATTCGGACCATCAAACCTTATTGTCCATTTGGACCACCGAACATTAAAGTCGATTCGGACTACCTAACCCTATCGTCTATTTCGACTATCGAACCTTCCGACAATCTAACCTTCTTCTGTTTTCGGACTAATGGGCCCTTCGGACTATTGAACCTTCGGACTATTGAACCTGAAATGCACGATCATGTTACGTATGACTTTTGGCCATCGTTACATCGGTCGCACGTTGTTAGTAGTGCGCAGGCAAAGCTTGCGTAACGAATAAACCAATATTCAACCAAATTATAGGCATATTTGATAGAAAAAAAATGTTGTAAATATCGAAATTCAACCAGTAAATTAGGAACGGAATTCCCTGCGGCTAATTTTTGAGCGACATTATATATACCCCTATTACGGCTCAGTGCAGTTTATAAACGAAATGTTTCAAAGGACACCTTTCAATATACATGTACTTCAATGTGTTTATCTGCATATTCCTGTAGGCTTACAGCAAAGATGGCGTCTCGGAAACCATAGTTCCTCATGTTGCTAAGAAGAGTGAGACAATGGGATTACAGAAGGGACTTTCCCGACTGGACATCTACACGTTTAACCTGATGTACGACTGCTACGGTGAGGTCAAATTCCCCTGTTCCTCAGTGAAAATATAATTGAAACTCAAACAAAACTTATCTTTGAAACCACAGTACACGGGAACAAATTCCAAAGATGAGACATACCCTCGCACGAATGTTGGACCGTAGGCAGACAATAACACCACCCCTAAACAATTTTGTAGGCTATGAGGTATAAATTAACCATTTAAAAATACATGTTCAGGAAGCGCTCGGTTTTTTATATCTTAAAAATCCCATACATTTTCTATACAGTAGCATTTTATTTTCTAAATTTCTGGTAAATATTATCTTAGTTATTCACCCCAACTTAGTTTAGCAATGCCCAAACTGCAGTTCATATGACGGTCACAACTGTAGTTGAAACGAACTATAAGTTGGCATCGTCTCAACTATAGTATACAAATATTGAATGCTTCGAGTGGTGTAGTAAAACTAGCCTCCCGAGGTGATCCATGGACCATTCTATTTTCCCGAGGCGAAGCCGAGGGAAAATAGAATGGTCCATGGATCACCGAGGGATGCTAGTTTTACTTCACCACGAGATAAAGCATTCAATATTTGTTTTATAACACTTCACCCACAGATTCTGCTTGATTTTAATATTTTTAATTATTTAAATCTGAACACAGTTGAAATAAACTTCAATTTCAATACAAAATTGGTGGAAAATGTACTTCTCTCTTAAAAACTACCCCTTCACGAAATGTTTGAACCCAAGTCTGCGGCGCGCTCTCTTTGGAATAATACGCGCTACGCACAACGTCAACGCGCACACCAGCATGCATTTGCACACAAATACCGCGCCGTGGAAATAGTACTTGGTTGCTATGCACATAGTACTTTTGTTGCTATGCGCATAGTACTTTTGGCCGTGCACAGAAAGATAGCAAAATTAGAAAGTAACATGTGACTCGCTCTCGGCCAATCAAGACACAGAATCTGTGGGTGAGGTGTTATAAACGGTTCTATCCATGTAGGCCTATGCTATAGTTTCGGGAGTGGCGTATCCAGGTGTTTGGTCCCGGGGAAGGGCAAATTTCTTGAAAGTGGTCCCATTTTGTATTGTCGTTTTTTTGTTCGTAACAGTGTTTAAAAACCGGTCCGGTTATCAATAGACTAGGGATGCGAGGTGGTGACGCCGAAAGTTTTATGTATAAGATTGTTTACTTATCTGTTTCAAAGTTGGGCTGAAAGGTAACATAAGGTCTCACTATTCCTGAGGGGGAAAAAAAACAGGAAAACGGTTGGTTACTGACGCACAGGCATTTAGCTGCATACACATACGTATTTCCAGCCGTGCGTACAAGTCTCCTTCTTGGACGTTGCCCTAGCTTCAGTCCATTGCCGGTGGACCATGTGCGGCTGCAATTACGACTAGTACCCAAAATATCCGGTTTCTGGTATGGGGCTTGCCCCAAAAGTGGTGCGGCGACGCGGGTTTTTTCCCCTCTTTTTTTTAATGTCGGCTGATGTTGCAGATGATGCTTCGATCCCCTTAAAACTCTCAAAAATATCCTTCAGGGTGGAGCTTGAGGTGACCTTAGTAAGGCCATAAGGATTGAGAATTCTGCACCGCATCTACTTACGATCTCGATCGACACGAACATTCTTCTTGAAATTTGGATAGTCAAGACAAAAATCACAGAAAACGGTAGTATATAACGTCAGACTTATACCGCGACATCGAAATCGCGCATGAGCTATCAGGCAGGTCATTAGGCTGCTCCCTGATATATTGCACTAATTAAACATCTTTTCCAGGTTCCAGATACACGACCATCGCTTCCTTCCAGACGCGCAATTACACAATTACAACACCGTCTGCAACTGGTGCCCTACTGACTTTAGTGCAATATATATGGTAGCCCAGAAAGGCCACATAAAGCTTATAATCGATCGTAACGCTATCTAAAAACACGTTAAAATTGTGCAGCAGCAGGATTCCAGTCAAACCTGTGAGTTTGGCGGTTTTGAGATCTTATCATCTTATATTGAAAAAAATTAATATTTAATTTTGCCGACGCACATGGCTACGGCGACGCGCTCACAGACCAGAAACCGGACCTTTTTTTGGGGGGGGGGGCCTTACGTACATGCAATATCGTGCGCTCTCCAGGACGTGTTGTGTCCCTTTAAAGGCAAAATGGCATCAATGCCAAAGTGCCTCAAGGTGAATGCGAGGGGAGTCTAACAGGGGCCATGGCCTATGCCACTCATATCCTTTCCCGTTCGGATATGTGAAAATATAGAGATAGAAAAAAAGGTGAAGCTCTCCTAGGGTCAAATATCCCTGGCCTTGCGAATCTGCAACCACCATCCCCACCCCCTGCTTACTGTATCGAGTTCAGGCGTAAAACAATGATACATTTCTCTTTGTCGCCATCTTGTCTTACTTTAAAGAGGGCTGCCCCGAGGACCTGAAGGATAAGTGTCAACATGGCGGCGTGCCGTCCAAGGAATGCACCTGCATTTGTCCGGAGGAATACAAGGGACCTTACTGTGAGATCTTCAACGCCGAGACGGGTAGGTGCACCGACGATTATACCACAGATTGCTTGTTTGAGAAGAACAGACGGTTTCCTATTAGGAGTCCCATAATCGCATGGAACTGCTCGAAGTAACGAGCTACCCTAAAGCCCCTGTCACACAGTGCCGTTCTCAAGCCCCGTACGTGGTACAATGGTCACGGCCCAAACAGATACTTAAACGTGGCTATAGGACGCGGGAAATTTAAAAAAAATCATTTGTGGCTCCAGCCTTAGATCCCAGACCATAATCCGTGTGCTGTTCGTCCTCGTCCCGTCCTGGTCCAGTCCACAAGCCGTTCTCAGACAGGTGTATGCAAGACAAAAGTGGCTCACACTCCCGTCCCCACCCCGTCCTCGTCCGTTCAAGCCGTTGGCGTCACGTCTATCACATGCTTATCCCATGCTAGCAACGGGCGGAGGTCTGGGTAGGCACTGTGTATTAGAACGGCATAGACGTAGGAGACTCGTGAGTGAAAGACAGTCCCGATGCAGCTCCGTGCATGCTGTTCTCACAACGATGCTCCCGACCATCTTTCTGTCGGCCCCATGTCCAGGCCGTTCGAGTTGCAGCATCCCGTTATGATTAGGATGGGAGAGTCGCCCGTTTGTTTTGAACATGCTCAGAAACGGACGGGGCACTTTGCCGTTCTGCCGACCTATGCAGCCCCCACAAGTCCCCAACACGAGCTCCCTGTTCAGAACAGTTGCCGTCAAGTCCTCATCCATGTTTTGCCAAGTTCTGTGGTCGTGACACCATCGAGATGCCAGAACGGCACTGTATGACAGGGGCTTAAAGTTTGTCGGTAGATATTAATCAGTATAAACTGCTTCGCACCAAGTCCATCTGCAACATTGACTTTCGACATGGGCTGTTTAATACGGTCACGTGGAGATGTTTAAAGAACGGCTGTTGATATGAACTTACTCCTCAAACACCAGGAGTCTTGCCTGAATCTCAGAAAGGAGACCTTCACACACAGATCGCATCATTTTTGTTTTCAAAAGAAAACAGGAATTTAACATACAAGGTGGAGTCCAAATTGCCCACTCTCTGTAACTGTTTTCAGTTGCTCGTGTAACAGTGAATTAATGGTAAACAAGGAAGTTTGTTAGAATAAACGTAGGCCTGAGTCCTTGAAACTCTCACAAATTTTCAATTTTCGACAAACAGTTGGCTTTAACCTTTATGAAACAAACTTCCAATTTGCCCTCTCAATGAAATGGTTCAGCTTGCAGTGTGAAGTTGAATGCCACGTCAGGGGTAATCCAGAGCCCGGGCTACCCTGCTAGATACCCCATCGACACCGAGTGTGTCTACGCCATCGAGGTAGGCTCCAAACTCAGCATCCAAAATGCAGCATAATCGCTAAATCAGCACTCATTTTTCAAACATGTATGTCACACATCAATCGAAATAGAAGGGCGGGGGCAAGTTATGAGGTCATTAGAAAGAAAATGGAATTTACCCTCGCTTGTGCTATTGTTAATTGGTATTTAAAAAATCGCTTGGAAAAAAAAATAATGGTACCTTTTCACACACTTTTCGAATTAAAAAGTCAGAGGATGCTCAAAGGTTACATCAGCAGACAGTAGTTTGCCGACATTTCTCAGAAAAAAAGTTTAACAAACAAAGAGTGGAGATTCGAGATTACTATTTACTTGTAAATTCATCAACTTTTACTTAGGGTTTTTGGAGAAGCGCTAAAGGCCAACTGATATGGGCCACTGTGAGAGAACAGTACAGTATGTTATTAAGTAAGTTGCAGGAGTATTATTGTCCATGTTTTATATAGTTCCTTCCAATGATACAGACGTCCTCTTTTCCCCATTCATCTTGTACAGTGTCCTGTCGGTATGACCGTCCATCTGGACTTCAAGGACTTCGACGTTGAAGGATACGGATGCTTCTTCGACTTCCTTGAAACGAAAACTGGTGGCATCATCGATGAAATGTACCCTGACAAGTGAGTCCCATTTTGGTACAATTCAGAATGCATTAAAGACTAAAGAAGTATATATCCAATCACAATTTTTGACCGGGGGTGGGCATTGAATCATCCCCCCAAAAAAAAATAATAATAATAATAATAATAATAAATAAATAAATACTGCGGATTTCGAGGTATTTGTCGAACATCATAACAACCAAAATGTATTCCATAGCACTGAAAAGTGGAGAAAGAAAGTACAAAAGCTTTTGAAATGCGCCATTTTGATGAAGCGCGAATATACATATACATCTATATCCTCAAGAGCGCCCCCTAGTATAATGTGGTGTCCAGCCCTCCCCCCCCCCTGCTTTTCAAATTTCAGCCCCCTCCCCCCGGCTTTTAGAATGACAACCCCCCCCCCCCCCCCTCCAACCACCAACCTGCTTTTCAAATGACTGATTATCATACTCAAAATCTCTCTTTATAGTGGAGGGTTCAATTCAAATTCGGGGTGGAAATTATGTTTTTGAAATCTTCTTTTTGTTAAGGTTTATATTACTTCATACAGTTCGGCATCAGGTGCGGGTATCTGCCGAAGTCCGATGGTGTCGGACGGAACCAATCTTGTTTTATCTAGTAAGTCCAGTATTTTGATCATTATTTGGTTCTTTTTGCCCATTTCTCTTTGACCGACAGGTACTGTGATGTGGCACTAAAAGGTGTCAACATACAGTCCAAAACAAACCTGGCCCTGATGAAGTTCAAGACCGACTCCAGGTTCAACTACATGGGATTCGATGTCGAGTATCGTTGTGAATAAATCCACGACAGACACAACTTGACAGGCAGTTTAGTACAAATACAAAGCGTTGATGTGTGGAAATACAGATGCGCTAGACGTAGACTTAGGATTTTAGTTTAGTGTAGAAAGTAGTTAAGCACGCTTAACCAGCATTCATAATAACCTAATAGCACGCTTAACCAGCATTCATAATAACCTCATAACATTAACAATAACATAAATAATTCACGCTTAACCAGTGATTCATAGTAAGTAAATGATAATCGCTGAACTTTAATTGAAACCAATAAAGTTGTTTGCAGGCTGGTCAGGAAGGTGCATAGCTATGTACCATTATGATCCCCTGTCCCTATGTTCCCCAGTCCATATATGTTCTCCAGTCCCTAATCATAACTGTTCCCCAGTCCTTATGTTCGCCAGTCCCGTCCCTATGTTCCACAGTCCCTATATCCCCTGTCCCTATGTTCCCCAGTTTATAATGTTCCCCGGTCCCTAACCCTAACTGTTCCCCGGTCCCTATGTTCACCAGTCCCATCCCTATGTTCCACAGTCCCTATGTTTCCCAGTCCCTAACCCTATTGTTCCTCGGTCCCTGCCCTTACCCTAACCTAAGGACTGGGGAACATTGGGGACTGGGAAACATCGGGTGGGCCCCGGTTAGGAAATGGGTTGAGGTTATTTTAGTGATGGGGTCTGCCTGATCAGAGTCCGAAGGTTCGATTGTCTGAAGGTTCTTTAGTCCGAAAGTTCGATAGTCCGAATAAACAAAATTCCATAAGAGGGGGTTCGTTCATCCGAAAATATAATGAGGTTCATTAATACGAACATTTGATGCAAAAATGCGAAGGTTCATTAGTCCTAATTAAGGTTTAAGTAGTCCGAAGGTTCAATTGTCAGAAACGAAAATAAGATTTACTATTCCGAAGGTTCATTATTCCGAATTGAAAATAAGGTCCGATAGTCCTAATCGACAATAAGGGTTCAGATTATTTCCCCGGCTTACTCGCGCCTGGCTCCTAGTGTAATGACAGACATGCGCAAAGGAGCTAAATAAATGAACTGTTTCGGGTAGTTTCGTGCAAGAGCTGGAAACATGGGCGTCGCCAGGATTTTTTCTAGAGGGGGCAAAACATTTTCCAAAATAATTCCTGTTTTTCTCAACATTTTCTCGATTTATCAGTTTTAGAGGGGGTAGGGACATTTTGCCCCCCCCCCCCCACACACACACATCCACACACACACACAGACACACACACACCCATTCAATTTACACCAATATGACTTCTCGCCTCTTTTCTTTTCTTTTTTCTCTCTGTTTTTTCTTCTTCTTTTTTTCTTTTTTTTTCTTTTCCAGGGAGGGGGATGTTGCAACCTGACGCCACTTTTTTTCTTCATATATCATCTCAATGAAGGTCATTTATACAAAAATGATGATAAGACATGAATCTGGGACTGAGAAATATTTCCAATTTTGTCAGGAAAATTATTTCTTGACTCTCCATACACTTTGATCACAATTGCGGAAATGGAGTCAGGTTGCAACATTTTTCCCAGGCTGCATCCGATAACTGTCTAGAGCACGTCCACGCCCAATGAAAATACGCGGGGACGCGCTGACAATAATTCGTAGCTGTGCATGCTCCGTGGAAGCCCGTTTCTGACACTGCCTGAGAGGTGCAACCCTAGACTGGTTCCCAAACCTGACAATTATTCCCGACGCTCACGTCTAAATTGTAGGTCAGGCGGCAGCCTCCGTGGCTAAAAATAAACATGACGACATTAATGGCCCTGTTTCAAAGCTCGGGCTCGTTTCCGATTTCCCTTTATCACTTATAGCTTTTAATGTTCTGATCAATTTTTTAAAATAAAACACTTGCTTCGTAATATCATACAGTATAATACAGTTTGATGTTTCTGTAAGATAACATTGTCTAATGTTGATCTGGAGTCTTCAAAATTAGGCACCCAAATAGCACTGTTAGCAGGCGGAGCCGAATGAAGACCGAGTTTTGGAAAATCTCGGTAACGGTCGTCAAATTCAAAATTGTACATGACGCGCAGCAAAAGGTTCGCCCATACGATCCGAGTATATTAATTTGATGCCAAAAAATCGCTGTTGGTGAAATTCTAATTTTCTAAATGAAAGCAAAGAATATTAATTATCAACTCATTTACAAAAATTTAAATAAGCAATTAGCAGTTAATTAAACCTATATTATACTCGGAAATACTCGGGCGCTATCCGATTGTCGATCGACGAAACGAATTCGGCAAACTTCGGAAATTTTCGGAAAAAGGAGGAATTCCTCCCGTTTTAGTCACGTGACGTGAATTGTAATAAAATGTATTACTGGAGGCTACCTGACCTAAGATTCATTAGGAATAGTCAGAATCTTTTGGCCTGGGAACCAGACTAGTGCAACCCTGCAAAAAAATTCCCATAGACACTAGTGCTAAATGCGCATACTTCAAAATTTCTTTGAAAAAAATACTCAGAACTCTCACAGCTATTCAAGCTGCACAGAAAATTATGATCAATGTGTCATCTTTCATTTTCTTTTCATTTTTTGGTGGGTTGACCGTTGACTTTTTCGAGATAATCTCACCCAAAGAAGACATCCCCTATTTTCCCCAAAGCGGACAAGTAGCCATCTTAAAAACCATCACTCCACAACATGGCAAAGAAGCGCCACTTTCGAGCAGGGTGACCGTTGTAGTCGATTTTCGGCTAAATTTGACAGATTGTTTGTTAAAAAAAAAAGAGTTTGACAGAAAATTTGACAAAATTGAATTTTTGGCAGATTTCTGGCAGAATTCTGCAAAAATGGTTATTTAACAAAAAAAACATAGTAAATTTGTACATTTGTTTACAAAAGCTTTAATCTTTTCAAACAAACCCTTGCATAACATGCACAATGGGACAGTATGGCTGGTCTAGGTGCTGAGGTTCCGGACTTCGTCGTGACGCAACAGCGTTTTGCCCGATGTATGCAATTTCATAACATCATTATGTATAGCTATAGATTGTTTATAATGTAATTTGAACCTTAACCAAGGCAATACTACATCATCTGCGTGTGATTTTAAGGGTTTAAAGTGTATTTCGATTTATTCTGGGGAATTTGGCAGATTTTGTTAAATGTGACAGATTTTTGAAGTGCATTTAGCAGAATTTGGCCAGAACCTTACGATCACCTTTCTTTCGAGCCCAATAACATCCAAAATGCTTAGAATTGGAATCCCCCAGTCCGGGCCAGAGATTCATTACCATATTTCTTCAATTCCCCAATTTTATGGCTCTCAAACCTCTCTCAAAACTCTAACCTGGAAACATGTTACACTAGGGCCCTGTTCATGATGTCCATATTTTATGTTTTGTACAATAACCCTTCGCTCGTAACCCCCGCCCTGCAAACAGGGGCTAGGGCGCTGGGCCGGGAATTGAGGGCTGATGCCATTCACAGAATCTTGTGAAGGAAGTGGGGATGGCATTCTGGGTAACATATCATGACCTATATGTAAAGACAAAATTATAGCTGCGCCAAATCACGATTTGCATGCCCTCAGTATTTGAGCATATTGTGGGCCGTGCACTTGAGGGTTCGTAAACAGTGAGGATGGAAGCCGTGCACAGGAAAGTGAGCTTGTATTTCTGTGCAATTCGCATGAAATTGGGGCTCAAAAAGCGCTCTATTTTGCATTGGAGTGTAGGCGCCGTTTTTCAAAATGGCGATGGGTGATCGGAAATTTCTCCCAACTTACAATTGCATTACCACCAAAAAAATTGAGGAAAAATAGAAAGACAATCAAACTAAGCTTTAATTTTAATGTATGTCTCGAACACCTTAGAGAGCAAATTGTGAGTATTTTCTTGAATTTCTAAAGTAAGGGAATTTATCATTGGAGTCTATGGCAATTCATTGCACCTATAGGGGCACTGTTGAAAGCGGACACTCATGGACACTCTTTGGCAGTAGGTGGCGCTCTTCATCCCTGCCGACTGAAGAGACAAGCTTTTTACGACCGGCCGATGTCGCCGGCCCGATTTTTCTTCGCACGTCCCCGCCTGGCTCGCTCTTAAAATCTGTAGCTAGCAGGTTGCAATTTTTTTTTTTTTTAATCTTTGGGGTTTTTTTTGTTTTTTTTTTCTTTTTTTTGGGGGGGGGGAGTCATTTGTTAGGTCCACGATTTGTACCGATTTGTATTTGGCATATTTTCGAGTAGTATAATAGGGGTGTAAGTGGCGCCACCAACGTCAAAATATCCCCCCCCCCCAAAAAAAAACACCCAGTTTGTTTGAAAAAAAAAAAAAATTGTGAGACCCCCCCCCCAGCCAAATGCTGGGGGCGCTATTGGGTAAAATAGGCGCTTAAAATATCGGAAAAGTAGGAACTAAAATATCCAGCCAGTTTGCAGGCCTTTACGCAGTTCTAGAAGTTGGTTTTAAATTGCGCGCTCCAGTTCTGAAATTGCGCACACTATTCAAAACGAATAAGGATCGGAACGTCCCACTCTTATTTTCAAAAATTCAAATTAAATAATTTAAAAAAAATAGCTCATGTCGATGTCAAGCATTTAAAAAAAAAACATTTTTTTTCTGGGGCCAAGATTTTGGGCAAATTTTTTTGGGTTTTTTAACTGCTACAAAATTTTGCACTTGACGTAAATTTAATGGTTACCGTAGTCATATTGATCGAACGAAACTTAATTTTGATAATAATCAATTATTTAATATTCATAGATTCACGACGTATACCTTTGATACTACCGATACTACGTTTTTAATACTACCGGAGACCTGCCGGGCAGATGTAAATATCCAACTAAAGCAAAGTAAAAAAAAAAAAAAAAGAGGATTACAAAAAAATCAAAAAGTTATGTGCTAGCCAAGCATTCAGGGATCGGTCTGAGCCATAACAATGCCCCAGCCAACCCATTAGCACTCTTCTGGGATCTCGGCGTTCCCGGCCAATACACATTTCCTTCCCTATCCATCCATGTAACACCGGAGGGCCAGGCGCCATGTAAAAGCAAAGAGCTAAGGGAGGAACAGGGCGGCACCCTAAGCCCTGATCCTCCGTGTGGACCACATGCCCTGAACCTGTACGAAGACGCCAACCTGGAACTCACGGACAGTACCAGCCGCAGAGCTTACCGATTAAGCTAAGGTACCGTTGGTATTCGACGACGGGAAATTAAACATCTTGTGCATTACAAACAGTTCAGTCGCATCTTCCATAGACGACCACGCGCGTGCACTTGTAGTGGCATGAACACGACGCGCTCTACTCCATAGCGATTCTACACAAAGCAAAGAAAAAGACGGCCTCACGGCTGTTTCCAAGACTTTCAGATTAATGCACACCGAGTTTAAACTAGAAGATATATTACTTAAACATTCTAGAGGAAAAGTTTTACAAAATGAACAACTAAACATCCGTACCTGGTACATTTCCCTACTTGTGACAAACGCACATTTTGACTTACAGCAGAATGAGCAACGGAGATTTGCACGTAATTGACAGTGTGACCGGCGGGCTACCGCAGTGTGCGTACTGCACTGAAAGTTCTCGGATTCATGACGCGCCGTTACTTCAAGTAATAAATGCACACTTGGCACTGTAAAGAGGATTTTGTAAG